AGTTATTCTTTCACGATATTCGTCAAACCCGTTTAATTCCTGGTCTAATTTATGTCATAATTTTTCTATATCGGCATCTTTGTTTCAACTCGTTCGATTTTTCATTTAAGAGTTCTAAGGAATTTCTAGTTCCTCTGCATTCACTTCTGTTTTTGGTAATTCAGTTTCGATTCGGCCAATTAATTTGTAACTGCGCCCTTATGTGGCCGCGTTTCCTTTTCAATGTATCGATGAATTCCGTCATTGTTTAATATTCAATAATCAACAAGTATCAGCAATTCACTATTATTTATGCTTATATTATCTATATAACTGATATCAATTAGAGAGATTCAATAGTAGGAAAACGCAGTTACTGGCAGTCCCTGTTCGGGCGCCATGTTAAAAATTTTTATCAACTTTGTACTATTAAAATTTTTTGATCATTAATAGATAAGTGAAAGTTCACTTACCTTCTAAATAGGGCTGCCCTGAACTGCCTTCTTTCCCTTCTTGTCGGTATCCGTCTCTATGAGGAACTTCGACACAGCTATAATTTTAAGAAATTTAATTCGTATGAAAGATATCTACAAAATATTTACAGTATAATGATTACAAGCATAATTTATACGGAGACGATCTATCGTTATACATCTGTTAGACCGTCAGCCGTTCAACTGACTACTTTTTTCTCTTTCGCCACAGGCGTTTCGTGGAAGTAAATTTCTAGTAAGCAAACGCGACACTTGTAAACAATGGATGCAATTTAAGAAGAGAGTATATGCTGTTTCAAACATCATCATCAGCATATTCTGTCTTTTGACCGGAAAATTTAAAAAAAAAAGTTTCCTGAGATATCTTCAAATTCTGTTTTATTGAAAAAATGTCGAACATTCAATACGATGTAAAGATTCATATTGTTAAATTCTTATGCTCACTAAATATTTTTATCACGATTACTCTTAAAGTAACTTTATAAGTTTTCATATCCTTTTACATGAAAGAACTTGTGATTATTCACTACAAAATTCTAAGACGAGAAGCTTCGCCTTCAAACTACAAACTTAAATTTATTAGGACATACACTACATCTGATGTTCTTTCATGAGATTCAAATATCTCTTCAGTTACTCGTATTCAGAAACCTTACAAATATATCACATAAGTTCAGAATAATCGCTTCATAAACTCTCTAAATTTTCAACACGAGTGAATCACTGAAGATACACTGCACTGTAAACATACAATACTTAAAAAAATTGTATAAAAATAAAATACATTAATTTACCAAGAAGCTTTTCTTTTAAATACATTTATTTATTCAAAGAACAATTTCTGATTATACATAAAATATACTTAGAATTTTCTTTCATTAGTTATATCAAATTAACAACAATATCCACTTACTGATATTTGATATACATGTTTGCTTTAAAATTAAAACTAAATTCAATATATTTCTATTAAAAAAAAACATAAGGAAAAAAAATACTCATAACATCAACCAAAGACAGAAATTTAATAGAAAGCTGTACTATATTAGTGCATTTTTATAATCTTCATACATTTCGATTCAAAAAACTATTACAAATAAATGAAACATTTTTTTCTGCCTTAAAGAATCTCTATATTTTTAAAATAATACATAAAATATATCTTCACCAATATATATTCTATCCTCAACGCTTATTATAATGCAATCATGTCTGTTTGTGAAGGATGATTTACATGCAACCTTCGCATTATATAGCTTTTTTATCACTGAATTTAATTCAGTTTTGATAGAGTTTATGAGTTCTTTAAAAGTTCATCATCATCACTTACCATATCCGAACAATTGTTTTACATTTGATTTGCAACGGTAAAATAATTTTCAAAAAACTTTTATAAAGTATTAGAACATCAGGAATAATTTCTTTCAATTTTTTTAAAATATCAAGTTACTTTTAGGTATGTAGTTTTAGTTTAAAAGAATTTTCATCTTGTTTAAAAAACTTGTGAAAAATACACTCATCTTCTTTGTTGAAAACTACCAACTCATTATTGCAAATGATGCTGGCACTCGTATAGCCAAGATTAAATTCCATATATTTTTTAGGAAAATTCTTGCCATGTTGCAGGAGTTATAACAACACCGCGTGTTAGTAGGGTATAATATTTTATTTTGTTCCACACATTCACGTAGATGAATGTTCATTCTGTTTTCAAACTGATTTATGGACAAAAATATCCCCAACCAAGAGTCCACTGTGCAAATCAACTTCGAACTTCTTTTTCTGTCCTCGATTATCGGCATGAAGATATTTCAGGAACAGACTTCATATAGTGGGCAAAACCAGTCATCCTCTGGAAGTTCATCCTCATTATTCCAAGCGTCGTTTTTTAATTTTCGAAATTTTTTATGTTTCGGAACCAGGCGAAATTTCACATCTCGAAGCGTGGACTTAACTCAGGAACTCTCCTTGTAATGAAACACCAACGAATCAATTTGGATGCACGGAATACCCTCTTAACCTGACGTTAAAGATCCTAGAATAGTATACACATTCGAAACATAAAATTTCGGAAAATTAAAAACGACGCTTGGAAGATAATGAGGATGACTTCCAAGGGATGATGGTTTGCCCTATAACTCTATAAAAACTCATAAACTCTATCAAAACTGAATTAAATTCAGTGATAAAAAAGCTATATAAATGCGAAGGTTGCATTGTAAATCATCCTTCACAAACAAGACATGATCTGTTCCTGAAAATATCTTCATGCCGAATAATCGAGAACAGAAAAAAGAAAGTTCGAAGTTGATTGCACAGTGGACTCTTGGTTGGGGATATTTTGTGTTCATAAATCAGTTTGAAAACAGAATGAACATTTATCTACGTGAATGTGTGGAACAAAATAAAATATTATACCCTACTACACGCGGTGTTGTTAAACTCCTGCAACATGGCAAGAATTTTCCTTCAAAAATATATGAATTTAATCTGTCTATACGAGTGCCAGCATCATTTGCAATAATGAGTGGTAGTTTCAACAAGAAGGTGAGTGTATTTTTCACAAGTTTTTAAACAGATGAAAATTTCTTTTAACTAAACCCTACATACCTAAAGTAAACTGTGATATTTAAAAAATTGAAAGAAATTATTCCTGATGTATCTAATACTTTATATAAAAGTATTTTGAATTATTTTCCCGTTGCAAAAATGTAAAAAACAATTGTTCGGATATGGTAAGTGATGATGATGACTTTTTTAAGAACTTATAAACTCTAGCAAAACTGAATTAAATCAGTGATAAAAAAGCATATAAATGCAAAGGTTTCATTGTAAATCATCCTCACAAACAAGACATGATTGCATTATATAAGTGTTTCGATGAATTAAATATATTGGTGAAGATATATTTTTATGTATTAATTTTAAAAATATAAGAGATTCTTTAAGGTAGAAAAAAAGTTTCATTTATTTTGTAATAGGTTTTTGAATCGAAATGTTATGAAGATTAAAAATGCACTAATATAAGTACAGCTATTCTATTTAAATTTCGTCTTTGGTGATGTTATGAGTATTTTTTTTCTTATGTTTTTTTAATAGAATATATTGAATTTTAGTTTTATTTTTAAAGCAAACATGATATCAAATATCAGTAAATGGATATTGTTGTAATTTGATATTAACTAACGAAAGAAAATTCTAAGTATATTTTATGTATAATACAGAACTTGTTCTTGGAAATAATAAATGTATTTAAATAGAAAAGCTTCTTGGTGAAATGAATGTATTTTTCTTTTTTATAACAATTTTTTTTAAGTATTGTATGTTTACAGTGCAGTATATGCTTCAAGTGATTCACTCGTGTTGAAATTTAAGAGGTTATGAAGCGATATTCGCTGAACTTATGTGATATATTGCGAGGTTTTGAATACGAGTAATCTGAAGAGATATTTGAAATCTCATGAAAGAAACGTCAGATGTAGTGTATGTCCTAAGAAATTTTAGTTTATAGTTTGAAAGTCGCCAAGCTTCTCGTCTTAGAATTTTGTAGTGAATAATACAAGTTCTTTCATGTAAAAAGGATATGAAACTAAAAAGTACTTTTAAGAGTAAATCATGATAAAAATATTTAGTGAGCATAGAATTTTAAAACATATGAATCTTTACATCGTATTGCATGTTCGGACATTTTTTCAAGTAAACAGAATTTGAAGAATATCTCAGGAAACTTTTTTTTTAATGTTGCCTTTGTCAAAAGAAACAGAAATATGCTGATGATGATTTTGAAACAGCATGATATTCTCTTCTTATAAATTGCATCCATTGTTTACAAGTGTTTTAAAAGAAAAGTGATCTCTTAACCACATTCGAATGCGACATGATTTGTGTGAATCTTATAAAAACGAAGAAACGTTTACATCGTTAATACATGCAGTCTTTAAATCGCCAGTCTTAAATAGTTCGCAATTGAATCGATTTACTAGAACATAGAAAATGATCATGTCTTAGATGTACTTCAAAATTCATGTCTTAGATGTACTTCTTGAATATATAAATTTAGTTAGTAGGGAAAAAATGAATATGATTAGTTTTACACTGAGTTATGATATCGGTGTTTGAAATGGTAATCAATAGTTACATTTAAAATGTGTCGTGAGTGTGAAAATGCAGAAATAAAAGAGCTTTGGCGAATTTAACTAAACGGGTTCTCAATGTGGTTGATGGAAAAATTTGTTCCATGTGAATTAAATAGTGTAAGATATGAACTCTTTCTCTCAATAGTAATTATTCAATTGTAAGACAATTAACTTAAAATATATATGATATAGTACATGTAATGATTATATTACATTGAATTATGTAAATAACTGATGATATGTGTATTAACATAGTGAATGTTCGCTTTATGAAGTTTAAACATTACTTAAATCCATTCATAAAACTTTATCTCAATATACAAACATGACAATATCATTGAGTTTCGTTTATTCTTGGATTGTATGAAAGTTTAATATATTTTTTTTAATTTAATGTAGATTGGAGTAAAATATATGTATCTTCCTTAATTCAATCGGTAATATCTGTATGCTGGTAAAGGTACGTATGTTCGTAAAAGTTATACTGGGACACATTTTTGACAATCTTTCATCATATTAGCTAATAAGAGAATTATTGAAATTAGTAAGTAATGAAAATCAACGTTATGAAAGAAAACTCTAAAAGCATTTACATTTCCAGAAATATATCAAAGTTCCTTTTCTTAAAAACACCAGTGTATCGTAGTTTTTCTTTTCTATTTCGTTAAAAGCTGACTTGTAAAATAAAAATTTTCTATTAGTGTAAGGTAAACAAAAAAAATCAAGAGACAATCGTATCATGAATGAAATTCAAGTCTTACATCGGATTAAAAAGAAATATTCTGAATCTAAAGTTTATGCCTATTTAGCACAAAATGTGTTTATTTCTCTGATAAATTTAACTAAAACCCTTCTTATAACAATATGTTACCTTTAAACTGGATAAAAATGTCAAGTATATTTTCTGATGGTACTGATATACTTGCCCAAGAAGTTCTAAAAACCTCAAATGTCGAAAGAGCATATGATAAGAGTCTCCTTTCCTATCGCTACGTCAGTTACAGGTTAAGGGGCGTCTTGAATGGATGAAGGTAATGTTTGTGCGAAAATATAGTAGTTCTATTTTGAACTGAGAAATAATTCGCTTTTTATCAATTAAGGAAACTTGTAGTATTATTAAACAGAATGTCAATGAAAGACATTGCGTTTGCATAGTGAATTATGAAGGTACTGAAAGGTAGTAAAGAAGGTGAATTAAAGAATTAATTTGAACAAATAAGGTAAGGCTATCATTAAAAGAAAAAAACTGTTCAAAAGATGTATGTTAGAATTAAAGTAAGATGTTAAAATGTAAAAGATTGTAACAGAGTAAAACCAAGAATACTGGTAATTCCCATCTGGAAAACAGTAATTTGAGTACGATATTGAAAAAGTTGGTTTTAAGATTTCTTTTATCATGTGATGCAAAACAATTGCTAGTTTATCATGAGTGCTGGCATAGATGCACAATTAGTTAGGAAAAGTAGTAAAATTAGTATAGTCAGGTCTCTAAAACATGAAAAAATAATAGTGAGAGCAGTGTAAATTCATTTGAAGTACTGAAATATGACATAGACTAAAATCAGAAGATGTAAGAAATATTTTGGTATGTGTCGATGGAACACTGAATGTGGTTGTAAAATTATAAATGAAAATTTATCATACACTTAAAGGTAATCGAGATTTAGAACTGAACATGATGTTAGACACTTTGAAGATCGTAATACTATATGAGAAAGAAATACATTTACATATAAATGGTATTAAACTGTAAAGTTGTGAATGGAAATTTCTGAGTAAAACCTGTAGACGATTTATTATGATCGGAGAATAAAACAAGTATTTTAAAAATTGTAAGGAAATGTTTGAATATGGAGTAAATGAAAACAATTCATATTGTTAAAATGAATAAAAAGGCATAAAATGTTGGAATTACGAGTGATGAGACAGAAATAAAAACATTATAATAAATAAGTTAAACCAAATTAAGAAAATAAACACAGAAGGGAAATCATGAACGTAAGAAAAGCAATTAACAGTTATAGACTTAAGTTTTTAAAAAAAATATTCGGTAATGTAAGGAAGATATTGTTGAACATGTGAAAGAAATTAGAAATTCCGTAGAAAATTTAGTAAAAGAACCAAGATCAGGAAAAATAAACGTTTCTTTTTAAATAGAATTTCAAACCACTAAGTTAAAGTGTGTGTAGAATACTAGAATGGTTTAAAAAAAGTAAATGAAGTTAAAATTCAGAATATATTGAACATTATAACGTTAAAAAAAAGTGTGAAATTGCATCTAAAATTAAGTAGTGTAACAAATAAAAAACAGCATGTGGCGTAAACGTTTGTAAAATATAATATATAAGTTAAAAATCAGGGTATGCTGAAATGGTATGAAGGTGTTAAAAAAAATAATATGTGAAAATTAAATAAAATATTACAAATTAGAAACGTTAAGTATTAAAAAAAATATGACAGTAAATGAATATGTTATATGAACAGAAAACATGAGAAATAAGTTAAAGTTTCATGGAAAAAACTAAAAGAAATAAAGCATCAGAATAAAATTGAGTAATAAAAAAAATTATCTTGTAGTTTATTAAAGGAAAGTCTTTTTATATTTGTTTCTTTACATTGTTTTCAGAGCCGCGCATTGATAATTTTAACACCAGACGTAAAAATATATTTCTAAAACATATCATTCACTTTTTCATTAATAGAGGGCAGCATCGCCATTTCATCAAATTAAGATGCAGAAAATATTTCCCGTTGCCAATTTTTAAAAAACTAACTTTAAATGAAAAGCAGGAGGTCTACAACTCAATCAGCAATCTACCAACAACTCAACTCCACTCGAAACCACGCCTCCTAGTGTGCTGACGATGCCTTTGGCCCCGCACTCTGTGTGACGTCATTGACCACGCCCTCAGCTCCTCCTGATGCAGAACTGTCATTTTTATACTACTAAGGTACTGCGGTCAATAATGTTCTAATTTTACAAATTTATAATTTTTGTTTTCATTTCGACATATTTACTTTTATAAAGTCATTTTATATTCAGTTTCAGATCTATATAAAATTATTCCAAATTATTTCATATTCCGTTTTAGGTTTTACATTGAGTCCTTTTTATAAAATATGTGTTTGATATTGAATGGGACAAGAATAGCATAGTACAAATTTTGTAATTGATTCATTAACCGTTTAACTGTCAAGTTATTTTGATGATTTTGGGTACACAAATTGTCAAATTTTTTTATTGGAAAAACCAAATGTAGCCGAAGTAAACATCTCCAGATATATATTCGGGTATGACAATACGATGCACTCAAAAAAAAATTACCCCGAGAAATACTTGGGCGTGACATTTTCGAACACCAGTGCTGTGCCCGAGATAATCTCGGGCATGACAGTTAAAAGGTTAAGGCAAAACAAACTAGCTCTGAAACTAAAACTGTACAAATTTTGTTTCGTAACAGTGAAAAATCTTCTGGTTAAGAAATCGCTACTAGACGCACTGTTAATCAAAATGGCGCCATCCTTGCAAGAGAAAGCGTACTGTGTTTTGGAATGCGCCGAAACATCATCGTTAATTGTCCTTCAAAGATATTTTCTCACGAAAAGTGGTAAAGAACCACCGCATCGTGACAACATCAAACGGTGAGTGAACCCGTTTCTGGACACGGACGGTTTATGTGAGAAAACCAGCCCAGGACAAACAACAGCCAAAACCGAAGTGGTTGAAAAAAATCATGAAACATTATTACGAAGTCCCGTAAAATTAATGCGTCGTGCGAGTTCTGAACTCTATGTGCCTCATGTAACGGTGTGGCTGTGTTACGGAGACGTCTATAATTCCGGCCATGCACCATTCAGGTAGTGCAGAAATTAAAAACCAAACAAGCAGACAAAAAGTTTTATGTGAGAATTTGCAAGATGAGCTGGAGGTAGATAGTTTTGCGAATAGACGTGTTTATTGAGGAAGCCACTTTTCACGTTTCTGTCATAGTGTAGTTAATTCCTATAATTTACCAACATAATCACTATGCCAACATAATCACTATGCAGGTGAAGGCTGCGAATTTTCAGAACATTTTTCCCTTGTTTCCAGTAATTCCAGCGCAATATGTCTTTGAAAATTATTGCAGGGTTTAATGGAAGTGCAAAATAAATGGAAATCGTGCAGGAAGGATGTTTGGTGATCGTTAAAACTTTATACATCAGTACACGAAAAATAAAATCACAATAATTAATATGCCAGAAATAAATGTGCTTTACCGAAATGAGATATTTACAAAATATCATATTCTAGAAGAAAATGTTGCGATCCTAGAAGATTGCTAGAATGGATTAATTGTAACAAGACGTAGCAAGTAAACAGCCTGCATAAGTGGGCAAAAAAAAAAAAAAGAATGCAAATAAAAGTGAAAACTTTAAAGCAACTAGTTCACTCAGGGCACGAAATAATTTAGTTCAACGCGAAGAAACAAAATTTTCGTAAAGGTTTCCGAAAGATTTTGACAGCGAATTAATAAGTTTCCAGAAATGTGTTACTGAACTACGAAGACAAAAACACTATTTGCTTTCATATATTGGAAATATGAATGAAACTCTAATAAAGCTTCATATGACAGGAAATAAAACATTTGATGTGAAGAGAACAGAAACGGTTCACATAAAAACAAGAGGTCACGAAAATTCTCACCTCACCGTAATGCTTTCCAGCTTAACGTGTATGGTACAAGATTAACCCATAGTTATTTTTAAAAGAAAGACGAAGTAGTGCAATTTCGGAAATGGTGTTGTCGTTCATATTCATAAGAAAGGATGTATTGAAGAAAACGGTGTAAAACTGTGGATAAGTAATATTTGGCAAAAACGTCCTATTGCCTAAAAGAATCCAGAAAGTCTTTTAGCTTGGGACGTGGTCAGATCCCATTTATGGATAATACGAAGAAATTGACGAAAGAATGTAACACAGACATGACTGTTATTCTTTCCGAATTAATGTCATTAGTTTAGATAGATAGATGATACGTAATAACACATAAAACCATTCAAAGGAAATTTAAAAACGACAGTGGAATACGGAAATGTTGTAAGGTGAAAAAAATGAGGCCAAATGAGTCGTGCCAATGTAGAAATAGTGTGTAAGTGGATAATAAAAGAGTGGAATTTAATTAAATCCGACATAATCCATAAGACATTTGAAAAACGTAGTACATCTAACAATCTAATAGAAACAGATTCTAGAAAAGAGCTCAAAAGAAGAAGCGTACCGAGGAATGAAAAGGGAGAGCTTATTTTTAAAATATCCCAGTCTAAGGACTCTTCCTAAATCAGTCGTTGTGACAGAATTCAGGCTGTGCACGAGGCACGACTATTTCCAAGCTCATTTGCATTGCTTTGGTTAATTTAGAGCGGATAGCCCCACATGCTCACACTGTCTGGATGGAAGAATGGACGGAGAGCATCTGCGAAGCTGCAGTGTGTTTGCTAAAACGCCAACGCCACAGCATACAGTCACGTCCAGTCCTAGAGAGCTCGTTCTCGAATGGCGGAACTGCTAAGGCATTTGCTAAACTAAACTAAACAATCTAGATGGAGCGGATGATGATTATTTATTTATGGAATTAGAGTAACAAAGTCGGTGAAGATGAACACAGATGATTGAACATTGATGTTGTGCATGAAGATATAAAGGAAGGTAATATGACGAACCTTTCATGTCACCCGATAATGGAATTTTTTAAGTTGATGAGGTTTGTCGTTTCTTTTAAATAAACAGCATTTAAGTACATGACATAATCTTTCTCTTATTTTTAAATCTGTCATTTTTTACCTGCACTCGTAAATTTCAATCTTATTTTTGTATTAAAAGTAAGCGTTATACGTCGGAATATACGGTATATCTTATCTTACATTTTTAAGTATGTCAATATAATTTAACATGTAAATACACTTAATTTCCTTTTAACTCTATTTTTGAAAATTAAATAATGAAAGTATACTTTATACTAACGTTTTCCTTACAGTTTCTTCATATCTTTCTAGGTTTGGATTTCCATATTCATTTCTGCCTTTGCTATAAGCCTTGTGACAACCATTCTTGATAAACATTATGATAGTTCTTGTTCTTTCAAATATAGATTTTTCAAAAATTTGTGGAAAGCTTCAACATTTCTACTGCAGAAAGGTTCGTAGTTAATTATCTTTATAATATAATCTCCCACATTTTTTTTTTAAATTTGTAATTCATTATACATTCAAATATATACACTGGTGATTAGTATTGTTTTTATTTACCTACAGTTATGATATATGAACCAATACACTGGTGATTAGTATTGTTTTTACTTACCTACAGTTATGATATATGAACCAATACACTGGTGATTAGTATTGTTTTTACTTACCTACAGTTATGATATATGAACCAATAAATATATCTAATGCAATTTCTCATGGCATGATCAAAATTCAAATCTTGTTATCAGTATCTAATCAATTTCTTTCCGAAGTGAGAATAATTTCTGCATGCCATCTTACCAGATTTAAATTGCTGATCTATAATCCGGAAAAAACCCCTAATCCGGAGTCGCCGAAGTCCCGATGACTCCGGATTACTGACTTTGTACTGTATTTGACTTATTTTTAGACTCTTTCCTGAATCTTTGCCACAAACGTTTAAACTATTTAACGAATTTAAATAGTCAGTGTTCAAATAATCAAAGATGGTTGACCGTGTTATACTCTGCACTATTGTATATATTACTGCTAATGTTTGTATTTTATTCAATTTATTTTACCTATTTATTTATTTATTGCAGGCAGATCGCTTAGACCTAAAGGTTGTCCTTATGTCATTCTTGGCGGATTTTGGATGATGGGAACCGTCGTACTCGCTTATATTTTCAGCGCAATGGTGCTGACGAATCTCTTTCTGCGTAAAGCCCGTCAAATAGATTCAATCCATGATCTAGCTGCTGCAAGAGATATTCAACCTATTCTCCTGCATGAGTCATCAATATTTGGCGTTTTCAGTGTAAGATGTATTTCGTTATCATATATTTTCACTGCCGCATTACTTATTTTGTCATCTCTTTAATATATGAATAAAAGCACAGAAATTAAATAAACATGTACTTGATAAATTCATACCTCATCCAGTATAATGGTCAGAATTTTATGAAAACATAAGTGATATAGAAGCCATGACAAATTTTTGATGTAATGATGTAATGTAAAGAAATTTGACTCGAAACTCGATTTAACATTATCTCATTATATGCGTTGTGGTCAAAATATACAACATTTATCATCCAAATTTAAATTGTCCGTTAATACCAAACTAAGCTATTTAAAAGCAATAGATGCAATTATTAATAATGTTATTTTTTACATTTTAATGGCACAGATTTAAATAAAAATGCATTTAATTCAAGATATATCTAACTAAAATCATTAAACATTTTTATAGAATTACGTTACATAAGCTCCTATTAATTAAAAAAGGTACGACTATAAAAAGGGGCATTGGACACACAATTCACATATAGGCTGCGTCGTTGAATGCAAATGGGCAACCAAAATTAGCATAAAACGCAATTCCAGAGACGTTGCCTTAAAAAGGGGCATGCCGAACCTATGCATCAGTTCGCAAGCAACGATAGTTCCATGTAATCCAAGATAACTAAACGAAAAGCATGAGGCAAAGAACACCATTTGCACAATGAAATCTATTGGAGGGCTGTCGGGATGGTGTCGGCTGGGGCAAGACAATCTCATGTTGCGAGAGACCTAAATGTGCATCGTAGTGTCATCAAGAGGCTGTGCAATCATTACTAAAGGTATCAACTTCGCTGTAGAGGACGTGGGTTTGGAGCCGGATGATTGCCAAAACGGCAGACGATCTCTTCCTATAGCTAAGTCCAAGACGCCGCAGATCACTAACTGCTCAATATCTGGCATCGCATCTCTCTGCTACTGCGGGACGGTTGGCATCCTAAGGTGTGTCACACAACTGCATGAAGGTGGATTGTATGCCCAACAACAAGTGGTTTGTGCTCCTTTGTCCCCATCGCATGTTAGAGCGCTGCTGAATAGGTCTAGTGAACATCGCAATTGCAGACCCTAAGACTGGAGTGACGTACTCTTTACGGATGAGTTGTCAGAACTCAGCAACCAGCAGAGTGCTATTTGTCAAATTGTCAAAGAATTATGAATAAGTAAAAAAAAAAGTGGATGCGCGCAGGGAACATATGTCCTAACACGTCAGGTCTGAGAAGTCCCCAAATCTTTTTTTTTTTTTTTTTTTTTTTTCCATAAAACAAGGAAAAGGTGCTTGAAAAAATGCTGTCCCAGATTGTCTTAATCGATACCATGTATGCACTTAAAGACCGATGAAATTTGGAAACAAGTCACAATTATGGAACAAACCCGATTTTAGAAATTTTTACATGTGTAAAAGTACAGGTTTGAAATGAAAATACTATTTTATATTTTATAGCATGAGCATGAAAATTTTATTTAGAAAATTTTTCTCAGAATCAAGTAATTAGCCTCAAGTGTTTCACTGCATTCCGCTCGCTTTTGTAACAAGAACATTTGCCATTAATCAAATGATAATGGAGAAATTTCTTTAATAAGACTTCCAGGTTTTATGCAATGTTTTGATGACCTTCTAGTTATGTTAAGAAGTACTTTCCCTATTTCAGTATTTTTATATAAATAATAATTTTTCCAAATATAAACAAAGTTTTATTAGGTAGTATTTGATACTATATACTTTACCAGAGTACGAATATCTTCAGATTTGTCAGTGGAGTTATACACAAACCAAGAACGTTGGAGAAACTGAATTTTCCTGTCCATAGATTAACGAGATGCATGCATTGTTAAGTTTTTCTACCAATGAGCAAAATTCGAACTATTTTACCAGTTACCTACTCTTCACAGCTATTAGACGCAATAATGTCCGCAAGTCCTTACCCGGCTTTATTTTAGCAACTATTCGTGGTAGGCATATATTTTCAGTGACACAAATCATGTAAATAATGCAAATATTTATATTTTGGCATTTTTAATTTCAAAGAAATCAGTTTTGTAAAACTTAAAAAATATAACTTTTTATACGCTTCTCTCATTATCTTATTTTTGCTACTAATATTATGCGTTTAAAGATTTTTTCAATGCTCAATGCACAGTCGTCTAAAGAAATATAGTAAAGCTAAACGTATAAGTTTCTAGATAAATATTCCGTTTTTTTTTGCTTTTAAATGATCCCCAGAACAGGCAAGCTAGTAGTTACATTATTTTAGTTATGTCACTAGTGATATTTCGCTTTTTATACAGCAAACTTCTAACAAACTTCTAACAAAAGAAGCAGAATTACCTTAAGGATATCGGTAAAGTTGAAGAATAACCTGAAGAAATGGTAAAGGGCCTTTAGTTTCTCAGTCTAGTAGTCAATGGAGAAGGGAACGCGCTTCTGAACAAACACATCATGAAAAAGAATCTGCTTTAGAATCACCTTTTTGCCTATCACAACTGAATGCCATACAAAGAAGCTATGAATATGCATCAGCTTTCTTATTCGTCACCTGGGGGATTCTCATTTAGAACTGGAATAGAGCTTGAGAAATTCGTATGATCGCCTTTCATATGATCCTTATGCAAACGACACGCACATCTCATGCGTCTTGGCCGTGGTCAAATTCGTGGATCTAATTTGAACGTAGGTTCATATTAAAAGGATTAAAAACAACAACAAAATTGCTGAGATGTAAGAAAGTTTTGGTGGGATATGCAGGTGATTAGGATGCAGAAGTGAAATAAGAAGGATCACCTGTTAACAATTTACCTTACTAGCTCTAACTAAATCGAGTAGTTTATACGCAGTATATCTACAAATTCTGCATCTACTTATATCAGTATCGGATGTTAAGGCTTGCCATTTACTATGGATGAGTACTAAGAAACTTAGTAAACTTTCTTTTTTACTAAGAAAAAGCTTACCGACTACCAAAAAACACCGTTTTCTTTTCTACCTCATAACTCCTCGTAGTTATTAATAACATTTTGCAAATGTGTTTCAAACTCATGAGCTTTTTCACAATATGATCAACTGCAATCACTCAGGAAAACAAACGTCTGAATGCTAATGTCACTTTTTGTCGTTTTCCTTTGAATTTCTTTTAGTTAACAAAGACAGGTAATGCAAATTTTCTCCAAATCGGGTTCTTCAAGTAATGAAAATTTTCACAAAATCGAAATGCCACAAAATATTCTTGCGGAAAGATTAGGATAACAGTCAATTCCTTGAAGAAAAGTTCTCTTTCTCCCTGATTGTAATCTAAATATTGTTCTAACAAATTATACCGCGCTTTCGAACCAGTATTAAATGAAATAGTCTGAAACTCTTCTGAGTATATTCTTTAACATTAAAACTTTTAATAATTTTTTGCCTTTATCACCTATAATTTATTTCAATGTTTCTTTCTAGGAGGGAAAGGTAGACGTGTATCAGTCGTTGTTCGAGAAGATTAGTCATAATCCTGACAGCATCATGAAGTATGATGACATGAGCACTATTGGGATGGAGCGTGTTCTAAAGGGGTGTTTCGCTCTTATTACTGATGAAATGGATTTAAAAAGTTTCTTGTCTAAAAGGTACAAAGATGGACTTCCTTGTAATTATCGCTTGGCGAAATATCCAGTCTGGACATTATGGAGTTCGATAGCATTTAAAAGCAGCTTTCCTAAGAAATGGATTCGGAAAATTAATCGATTGTGAGTTGCACATAATACATTTACTAATATATCATGTAACACTAACAGGAATTTAAAAATACGTAACTTAAAAAACACAGATAAACAAAAACCAAATAGTATAATACATAAGTCTGTAAAATATGGACATAAATTAGTTCAATTTAAATTACACTTAAATATCACATGCACCTCTGAAAGTGAGATTCTTTATTTATGATATTAATGGTTGCATGATAGTATGTTTTCAAAATTTATGCCTTTTTCATTTTCACCTAATTTGTAACTGATACCATGGGACACATCCATATTTCAATTTGGTATTATGCTCTGACCACTTTAACATGTAAATAAAATATTAACGCGTATCCTATTCAAAATATTTGCTCAATGGAACAACTGAAAATTATATAGTCAGAAAGTGCATTTATTTACGGTATTCTTTAAAAATATACCTGTATGTATCCAGTTTAATAATATGTATGTACTTCTTGTATTTAAAATACAGTAATAGTTTGTAGGATTCCCCACTGTGAATTTCTAAGTTACTGATGGAAGTGAAGAATTTTAGGAACTGATAAGCGAATAATCGCTTGAGTTCCTTGAGGAAACAACAAGATAGAAGGGTAAAATAACCCTTTATTATTCCAATTAAAGTTTAACAAAACTCCGTCTTGGAGTTGTACAATAAAGCCGACACTTGGGCTTCAACTTAAGAAACTAAGAATTAAACTAAGCTAATCTTAACTAAAGAGATTTAGCCGAAGCTATCAAGATTCTAACAGAGTTGGCCCCTTCACGCTAATTGACTGCGAAGCTATCAAGGGCCTAAAGTACGGCCGAGCGTAATAATAGCTTACGAGAGAGTAGCCTAAAAAGGCGGAAGCGTGAAGCCAGAATATCTGGTATCTCTCACTAAGACTGTAGAACTTCGCGGTTATATACTGCTCTTCCTCATTAACATTCAGACTTGATTCTAAAACTACGTTCTGGCCGGAAGTGATAAGTTGAATACCGACCGGAAGTGGTAATAATAATAATAATAATAATAGTTCCTTTTCTACTTAACTTCCGGTCAGTTGAATACTGGCCGGAAGTGGTAACAATCGACAGGAAAGGAAGTTTAACTCAAAATTTAACTGCTAATAAAATTAACATAATCCTTACAAGTTAAAAGATTTGGCGTTATATTAGAAGAGGTAAAATGAGTTAAATAAATGAGTTAATTCTATTTTGAAATTCAGTGCATATACTAAAATGGCAAACTATTTTACACAATGTTCACTATCATATAGCTCCACGTTTTGTTCGAATAACAGAAGCAATGCGCTTTGGAAGAGATTTGATGAGGTACTCAGAGCGAGATGTTGATACTGTGATCCAGCAACCCTACAATTTCCGCTGCAAATACGTCGTAGATCACAGAGGTGAATCAAGAGAGTAGAGACTGTTGCCGCTCCTTCCACATATGTTCGAGAGGATCCGTAGTTGGAGAACATGGAGATGAAGTAAGCACTGCATTCTAGCCTCAGATATCTATAGGGTGGCATATTATCAGCTTGAAAGAGTACACAATTCTGGCGAACAACAATCATATCAAGGGGCGTCACATATGATTAGCTAGCAGTTCATTATGGCCTGAGCTCGTCAGAAGTTCCTCCAGTATGACACAAGGACCCACTGAAGACCTAATAATTTTCCCAGACAGTTTGTTACATTACAACTACCGGCCTATATAACGTTTGTCTGACACAAGGGAGGCAGTACTTCGTGCAGCTTGCAGTCCACACGAACTCAGCCATCTGCCTGCAGCAGCTGGAATCTCAATTCGTTGGACTATATCAGCGATTCTCAACCGGTGGTACGCAAGAGAAAAAGAAGTAATTCGCAAAGAAACAAAGTATCTTTAACTATTAAATTCAACAATTAATACCCCAACATTTTGTTAAATGTTTTCTCTAACACTCGTAAATTTATGCGATCTGAGTTTTGTCCATGATCAATACCTGCTCATAGACGTCAACAAAATCCGTTTTTATTTTCACAAATCTTCTTTTAGACATAGACATAACACAATTTGTCATAAATCATGTTTTCGTGAAAGGAGTAATAGAAATGAATGTAGAACTTAATAGGAAATAAAAATAAATTCCTGTAAAAGATAATAGTACCTTATTAATTCTTTTAGAGTTGATCGATTTATTAGCATATCTACACTTTATTCGCCACTATTTCCGGGATCATATTGACTTATTTTCAAATAGACTAATATTATTTTTACCTCAATGTGCTGTCTCTAACAGCAGGTATTTTGTCTTCTTGTTGCTTTGTATTGCTTACTTTCTTATGCGATTTGAGAATATCGTCGTTTGTTTTTGAAGAAAACGTAATATATTGTGTATTTGATATTTGTGAAAAAAATAATAAAACAAACCTAGATTTTTCAAAATGAAAGAAAAGCTAGGATTGATTAAGCGGAAAAAAGATGATTCACAGGGGATGGATCCAGGACAATCTACTAGCACTAAGAATATTGAAAAGAACAATTGTATATAGAAAATATAATGAAAGTTATTTGGGTTTACTTGGAATGGAGATGAAATTAGACCCTCAACCTAAATGTGTTGTTTGCGGTGAACTATTATCCAATTAAAATATGAGACCATCGTTTCTTAAAAGATATCTTGAATCTAAGCATGCCAATTTAAAGGACAAACATGAAGAATATTTTAAGAGGAAAATATTGGAATTGAAAAATAATGAAAGGTTTTTAGTGAAGAAGCTTTGGAAGCTAGTTATCTAGTAAGCCTAAGAATTGACAAGACTGGGCAGGCTCACACTATTGGAGAAAACCATATATGACCAGCAGTTAAAGATAGTTTTAACATTATTTAACGGAAAAGCTGCTAACGACCTTAATAATATTCCATTATCAAATGATACACTAAGTCGACGAATTAATGAAATGAAAAAATCTTCTGGGAGACTTTCTAAAATATGTCCTTTTAGAAATAACTGCAGATTTGCCGGTTATGCAACTGATGGTTATTTCTAAGTGACAGCTAGGAAATAAACGCTTGTTGACTTTCTGAAACAAACCTAACAGAAATTTCCGCGAAATCCATCGAATTGTTTGAAGTGACAACTACACATATTTCCAAACTGATATTTCTCAAGACTGTTGATTATGCTGAGTATCGATTTGCGTAAATTTGGATAAACCTTATTCAAGCCTCTAAGAGTCACTTAAAGAAAATGCTGAAATAAAAGTTTGATATGCCGATTTATTAATAACGGTATATTTATAAAATTACAAATGAAAAAATAGCGATTATTATATAAAGCACTAAGATAAAAAGCTACCTTATATTCCGTTTTCTAAAATATTATACGTAAATACTAAAAAAAATATAGACGTTTGAAGGTTCGAAATGCCAAAATAAATCTTACATTATAAAATATGTTTAGTAACTTAGAAATTCTTCCAGTTTATTAAAATATCCATATACTGAAATCTCCTTATTTGGTGTTGTTACGATATGCCCAGCTGAAAAATTGTATATAGGTTAGGGTTGCCAGAAAATAGCAGAACGGGTTGCCAGAAAATGGCAAGGAAAGGCTGGGTTGCTTCATTTGGCGTGAAATCGCCCAATTGGTAACATTTGGCGACAAAACTGGAGATATGGCATAGATGGATGGAGAACATTCTAGAACGATTTCATAGCGGTTTGGCTCAGGATGTTCTCGAAGGCAGGATGAAAGCTATATAAACCTTGTTGGAACGCGGAGTAGCACTGCCTCGTACAACTACCGGCCTACTAGTATTGAGTTGGTCGTGGAATGTATCGAGTGTATCGTCAGCATATCGGAATTGGCGCATCGAGAGTGTACATCGTTGAGGCTACCGAGTGTATCGTCAAGTGCATCACGAGTTGTTGCCTGGAGAGTCTCGAGAGTACGTTGAGTTCCGAGAACAACCGAACCGAGTCGGGAGCTGTACTCTAGTGCTTTGTCGTGAAGCTGTCTAAACTGTTACAGCCTGATAGCCTGATCGTAGCTTTTCGACGACTGTAAACGTATTTTTGGAGCTTTTCTCAGTAATACTGGCTAATAAATTGTGTTTTCATTCTTTATCAAATGTTGTCCCGTAGAACGTGACAATATTCTCTTTTGAGTAATTACCTTTTTTTCCTCTAAAATATTTGAACTTCCCGCAACAAATCAAACAATTGATTGTTATTCACAATCAATCTACTGCATATTCCTCTCACCTTTCTTTGCAACATATCTCCAACAGCTTTGTCAATAACGTTTAACTATGCTTCTAAATTTAATGTTTTTACTCATTTTTGGGAGGGCTAGAGACATTACAATCTAAAGTTGTTGAAATATCTTAGGTTTCTTACTTAAAGTATATATTTTAAGTCAAAAACCCAAGATGATCTAAATTTCATATGAAATTTAAAATAAAATGAAGTTAAAAAATACATATACACAGTTATGCGCAACCCTTCAAAATAAAAGCGAGCGATTGCAATAGCCTCAGACATAGAAAGACTTCCGTGGTGCAATCTCAAAGTTGATTTGCTATATATTACCAGCGGAAGAGATAGGAAATGGGAGCATTAGTATACAAGTACTTTAATTACATACAAGTTCACCATATGGTGAACCACGTAAGGAAGCCTATTTGATAAAATGGATTCTGCTGGAAAAGTATAAAGTTAATGAATCATAAATGATCAACTACACTTTTACAGTTATGCGCTTATGGTAAAAACTGCAAACATTATTCATAATTTGTTTATTAAATAAAATAATTAAATTAATACCGAAGCTAAACATTTTAATGGCCATCTTAATACATATATGATTGTCTCAATTGGGTAAGGACTGCTCCTCTTAAAGAGCAATGTCATGCTTTTTAATATCAGCAAATTATATTATCAAAGATATTAGTCATTTTCAGATATGCCTCATGAAGGTTCATGCCCCGAAAGGGTTCATCGTATTAAAATAAATATGATTAAAACACTTTCGAAGTCTTTTTATAGTAACCATCTTTTTAGGCTTTTAAGTTAAACGTACGTTAATTCAAATATCATTTATTTTAAATTCATATATCCAAAGGTATCTTGTTTAAACTAAGTTTCTATATGCCTTTCATGTCAGTAGCTGTTTAACATACCTTAAAACATTGCTTAATTTTAAAAAGAAGTATCGTAATTATTCAATTTTTTGTAGTAAAGTATTCTTAACGTACGAATAACACATTAATTGGGAAATTATTCAAAGAGCCAGTTGAGTTAGTCCATTATTCATAAAGAGCTAATTATACTTATTTGAAAATTTAAATTTTAAAATTTTGCAAAGTCATAAATTAATTAAGCCAAGTGTTGTCAATTTATGTATAGTATGGAACTAACAAAATGCTGAATCTTTTTATTTCTGTCTTAGGTTGTTACGTACAATGGAATCCAATTGGTTGCAGCATCGAATGGAGAACGAATATGTTGGATACACCGAATGCCTTACAACTGGGAATTCTAAAGTAGAAAGCTTAGGTTTGGCACACACAAAAGACGCTTTTCTCTTTTGGAGTATAGGATGTATACTTGCTGTTATTGCATTGTTATTAGAGCTTTTCATTAAACCCCATTAGAATATTTTATGATTATATCAGCTATGCGTTTAGCAGACACTAACAGATAAACATGAAAGGGAGGGAGGCGATGGTGCCGCTGCGCTGATGGGGCTACTCCATGTAAGGATGGTAACTGAATGGTTTGCGATGTGTTTAGATTGCGTATTACTTACTGCATATAACATAGATAGATAATGGATCATAGATATATAATAAACATATTGATAATCATAATCTTATATATTTATGATAAATATTAGTACATATCTATTATAAATATAGGAAAAGCTCTATGAGCAATGCAAAACCTTTTAATAACGACATTGACAATTAAGGCATTGAAGGCATTTAAACAATTATTTTATGCCAAGTTATTGCCCTTATAATGTGAGGATTTTGCTAGCGGCAAGAGTCTCTCTAGTGAAGTGTTTAAGAGCATTGTCATGACGTGATGACCACGCATGCGCAGTTTAGCCGAACGGCGTGCAACGCCTCTCTCTCATGAGACTTACTAGAGAAGAGTAGTTAGTAGGTAGTAGCGAAGTAACGAAGGAAACGTGTTGTATGTCAGTACGAAGTTATACTTGTGTGTTACTCGTTTGTACTTATTATTTTTATTTGTATGTTAATAAAGTGTTGTGCCGTTAAAATGGCTGTTTTATGCAACGCACACAATACGATACGTCTACGGTAGGAAGTAAACACATATCCAGAAGCTACACGCCCAAGAAAAAGAAGAATATGACAGTGGTGTCAGAAGTGGGATATGTCATTCTGCAAAGTTCACGGATAAATGCGTAAGTGAGTCTTCAGAAAGGTAAGAAATTTGTTGAATTTATTTTGTGGTAAAGTGGAATTCAAGGTTACAAAAATGGCTGAAGAGCTAACGAAATCTAAGAAAGAACGGAAAGTTATGCGTTCAGCTATTACTAAAGTAACAAATGCTATTGAATCATTAATTGCAGCCGGTAACCTTGAAGACCTTGAAGAATCACTGGAAAGTTTAAAAGTAAAAGCTATTTCTTTGAAAGCGTTAGACGAAAAAATTAAAACTTTGACTGATGTTAATGACATTGAAACCGAAATCGAAAGTGCCTTGGAATACGAAGAAAAAATTGCGAAATGGAGCTTTAGAGGCACAAAATTATTGAAAGAAAAAAGAAATAGCAATAATTCGCTAGTTTCTAATGGTTCTTCTAATGATAGTAACAATTTATCTATTTCTGGTGTCGATAAAAGTTCTGATTATAATGGTTAAATTGCCGAAGATTATGATTGATAAATTTTATGGAAATGCTGAAATGTGGCAGACATTTTACAATTCTTTGACACGGCAATAAATCAAAACGAAAAACTATCTAAAGTAGATAAGTTTAATTACTTGCTTAGCCTGTTAAGCGGTGCAGCTTTAAAAACAATAGAAAGCTTTTCTTTATCTCCAGAAAAACTACGACGAAGCTTTTAAAATTCTCAAAGATAGGTATGGTCGAAAAGATCTCCTTATTAATTCTTACATGCATAAACTTTTAAATTTACGGCCTGTCCGAAGTTCTAATGACATTAATTCTTTGAGGGAATTATATGATACCTGCAACGTACAAGTAAGGTCACTAAATTCGATAGGGGTCAAGACCGAATCGTATGGAAAGTTACTATACCCTTTGTTAATGAAATGCATACCTCAGGATATAACGCTTGATTTTGCTCGTCAAAACGCAGATGAGGAAACTTTTAATGTCGATAACCTCATGAAATTTCTAAAACGGGAAATTGAAAGTCGCGAACGAACTTCATTAAATCTATTTTATTCTAAGAGTCACGCTAATTCTCTTGGAAGGCATTCACAACCAAATGAAAAGCGAAACAACTTCCACACTCTGAATTCATTCAACGCCAACAAATTTGGCGCCAGCTATTCCCCTAATGTAAGCAAAATTGCAGTTGTTCGAACTTTCCCTTGCTTATTTTGCGAAAGCGAAAATCATGCTTCGGAAAAATGCGTTATGTCTCCGGAAGAAAGGAAAAAAAGTTTAAGGGCTTCTAATCGGTGCTTTCTTTGTTTCGAAAGGAATTGTAGAATAAAAATTTGCCCTTCTCAATTAAAATGTTCAAAATGTAATTCTAAGTATCATAATATATTGTTGCATGAAGATAAGGAAAGGGTTGCTAAAGAAGAAATTAAGAATAATTTCTTCCGTAACTGCGCCGTAACTGCAAAGATTTCTTCTAAATATTTTACTGCGAATCAAGAGTTTAAAGAAATAATAGATGACTTGCCAACCGTTAAACTTATATGTGATGGTAAATTAATTAATGCAGTAGCAGATACAGGCACTCAACTAACCGTTGTCAAGACCGACATTGTACCAGAAAAATACCGTACGCCACATGGAAGTGTTATCCTCACGTCAGCTTTCGGGCAAGCTTTAAAAGCTCCTCTCATTAACCTACCTTTAGTAATATATTCTGAAAATGATAAATTTATGTCACCTATTTTTATAACATGTGCAATGGTGGATAAGTTATGTAATGATTTACTCTTGTCGTTAAGTGCTTTTAATGAGTTAAAAGGTAGATGATAAAAGAAAGTTTAATTTTGAATGTAAAAATGTAAACTTTGCTACTGATAGTTTCGGTGAAATGCCTTTTCATGAAACTGAAAATTTTGACGAAATACTTATCCATGATAGGGAAAACCTAATTAATGAAAAATGTAATGAAACTGTTAAGAAGATAATAGAATGTTGTGCGCTTGTATATGAAGATACAGGTAAGGATGATTCCAAAGGTAGCACGGGACACGATCAATGTGTTTCGGATTCAGAACTGTTTCGAGTGCAACAAATAAATGACCCATCTTTAAAAACATGCTGGCAAAATGTTAAGAACGGAAGTAATAACTTTACTGTTATTGACAACTTTTTGTATCATAAAGATAAAGTGCTAGGAGAAAGAGTTTACCAGTTGGTCATACCAAAAGAAAGAAGAAAACAGATTTTGGACTTAGCTCATTCTAGCTTATGGGGAAGCCACCTGCGAACCAAGAAGACAGCCGAGCGTTTGAGATATTCGTTCTATTGGCCTGAAATCAAGAAAGATGTAAATGAATACTGCAGTGCTTGTACTTCTTGTCAACTTCAAGCGAAAAAGCTTCCCTTTGATGAAGTTCCGATTACGCCAGTAACACGTCCTAAAGAACCATTCCAGGTAATTAATGTGGATATCCTAGGACCTGTAGAGCCAAGCTGTAGAGGTTACTAATATGTTCGTGTGCTGTTGATCAATGTACAAGGAGGCCCGAAGCGGTGCCATTGAAGAATTTGAATGCCAAAAGCAACATGCGATGCATTGTTGCAAATCTTTTCACGTACAGGAATTCCTCAAATTGTTGCTTCAGAAGATCAAGGAACTAATTTTACTGCTTCGTTGACCCAAGAGTTTTTGAAAAAGGATCAGATCGTCCCCAAGGTTCTCGACTCCTTATCATCCAAGTTCAAATGGCCTGGTGGTAGAAAGATTTAATGCTGTTTTAAAGGGAATGATACATCATACCGTTAGAGAAACATTCGAAAGATTGGGAGAAGAAACATCTACCGTATTTACTTTGGGCTTACCGAGAAGTTCCTAATGCTACGACTGGTGTTAGTCCGTTCCAAATGCTTTATGGAAGACGTCCTAATGGCCCGTTGTCTATTTTGAAAATCGTCATGGACTAATGAAACTCCTGTTCCTCATGGACAGTTAAGTTCAGTTACCGATTATCTGAATGATTTGAAGACGAAATTGGAAAAAGCTGCTGAATACGCAGGACTTACAGATGTTGGAAAGCAACAAGCTTATGCATTCTACCGTAACCGAAAGACTCGTCATAAAGAATTCAAGGAAGGTGACAGGGTTATAGTTTTAATCCCTGATAGCCAAAACAAAGTTTATGCCAGATGGACGGGACCTGCTACGATCATCATCAAAAGGCATACTGATTATAGTTACATAGTACAAATGTCTGACCATTCATCGAAGCACGTTCACGCAAACAAGATACGAGAGTTCAATACCGCTGTGAATAATGTCGGTGTGATATATGATACAGATATTGATTTCGGCGAAGTTGAAAACGTTCCAAGAATTGTTCCACGGAAAGCAAAAGAACACTATTCTAATGAGGAATGTGATTTTACACACCTTGAACCGCATAAGAAGAAAGAACTTATGAAAATTTTAAGAAGGCATAAGAACCTTATGCCTTCTTAAAATTTATTCCGAAAATCGCCAATGTGGGAGAACACAGCATCAGACTGAAACCTGGAAGTATGCCAAAAAGCAGAAACAGAAACCGTATCGAATACCTGAAGTTCTAAAGAAATGAAGTTGATCAACAAAGTAGATGAGCTATTGCAGCTAAAGCTACTCGTTGAATCAAAAAGTAAGTATGTGCATCCAGTAGTTTGTATGCGTTCAACAAAATGGAACGAGTAACATGTATAGACTAAAAGCCTATGCTGCGTTTATTGGATGATGTGACTTAAAATGGTGTGATTATATTTTCCAGTGAGTGAAGATGCATGACTGACGTTAAGAACTATGAACTATAAGACATTTTGACTATTTAATTTGAAAACATTTTTTTTAAGAGCTAATAATGCTAATTTTTTTTCTAACGTTATGTAATATGGTTAAAGATTTAGCCTAGGGTTTGCTAAAGTATTATGTTTTATGTTAATGATTGATTTGTATTGTCTCGTTATATGATAAATGCTTATATGATTATGATTATGTGAAGGATTTAAGTTTGAAAGTTAATTGAATGTTACACTTTTTTAAATGAATAGGATTACTGAATTTATGTTGAAGTATAATTTAATTTAAAATGGTAAGAATTGGTTAATTATGTTCGAAAATTTCATGAATGTTTTTTGTTTTGTTTCAAGAAATGTTTATGTATGTGGATTGACAGGTCATTGAAAGACGCAATCAAATCTTTTCGAGGGGAGGTGTCATGACGTGATGACCACGCATGCGCAGTTTTAGCCGAACGGCCTGCAACGCTTCTCTCTCATGAGACTTACTAGAGAAGAGTAGTTAGTAGGTAGTAGCGAAGTAACGAAGGAAACGTGTTGTATGTCAGTACGAAGTTATACTTGTGTGTTACTCGTTTGTACTTATTATTTTTATTTGTGTGTTAATAAAGTGTTGTGCCGTTAAAATGGCTGTTTTATGCAACGCACACAATACGATACGTCTACGGTAGGAAGTAAACACATATCCAGAAGCTACACGCCCAAGAAAAAGAATATGACAAGCATTCTAATTTCTTGATCTCTAAAGCAGTTTGCAGAATAATTTAAAAACATTATTTTAATTTTTCGGCTGTACTTTACGTCCTCTTATTCGTTACATTTAAAGTGATATCAGAGGAGATATAAGATGGTTGGTTAATTGGCTCTAGGACTTCGAAAGTATTGGTGACAGACATTGTGCATATCGCTAAAATCTCTTGACATTAGTCGTGAAGTTATAATTCTTGTAATGCGAAGTTGAGACGTTACTGAACGAATTATTGC